TTATTTGGTGAAAAAGAACGAACACCTGGATATATGCTATGTTTAATCTTCAAAAATGGTAGCTCTTTTTGACATTGTTCGTTTGAATATATCAACGATGAATATGTGAAGAACTCATGTGATAATTGGATATACTGTAGCCTACGTCACAGGTCGTGTTATTCCTACTAAATTTAACTAGTAAACAGCATTTACTGCGAACCTGATTTCTAGCGACAAGTAAAAATTAAACGAAATGCGTTGTTATGAGTCGCTACTCGTCAGGTTGGAAATGTATTAGTCTAGTTCCTTTTGAAATAATTTATTTTGTTGTTTTATCTAAGTTTATGAATTTATTAAAACATATTTAAAACTCAACTTATTAATTAAACTAAAAGGTAAATATCATTCCTAGTAAAATTTTCGGAGTGGAAGTAGTTGTGTTTTTTTTTCATATTATACCCAATTGTAGCATGGATGCGTCTCCTAAAACTGATTATTTCAAAAGAGTGATCACTTTAGTTGAATGTAGTAATTAAACTCGAAAAAGTTTTGATTCTTTTTATGCTTTGGTTAATAGCCATTGTATTCCTTTGATTTTAAGAAGTTTTGAATTTTTGTAGTGGTTATTTCAAAAACAGAAAGTCATTTCTCAACTTCGGAAATTCCATTTCATCAGATGACGCACCAAATGGAGAAAATTCACATAATGGAGGTGAGTCTTACTTATTTTGTTTTCTTACACATAAGAGAATTATATTCATATTCAGTGACAGCAGAAGCATCCCTCCCTGTTGGGGGGCTCTCTCCCGCCATGTATTTGTACAGTCCCTGGCCAAATTATTAAACGCACTATAAGATTCTATGTAAAATCTTAATTATCAGGTGATACTGTACAGCTTTATTGTTTTTACGCGACTCAAACCGATTTGCACATGTTTACGTTCGTGTATCAATTGGTTAAATTAGACAATATACTATAATGTAAATTAGACGATTGGATAAATTAGACGATATATTATATAAATATAGAGTATTTATTATATCAAGCAATATAATAGTATATTATAATAATTAGACCGAATCATTAGAAGCACTGTAGTTTTTTAATAATTGCATATTTTGCACTAGTTTATATGCAATACTTGTATGTTTAAACAAAGATGTAATAGGTTTTTATTCAGGAGATTTTTTACATACTTCCTATTTGCATTAATATATTATTTTTTTTAACGTATTGCATTACAATGTTAACTAATTGATACACGAGCATAAACAAGTACAAACCGGTTTAAGCCGCGTAAAAACTATAATGCTGTATAGTATCACCTGATAATTAAGATTGATTAGGTGTTTATTTTCGATTGCTATGTCAATGTTATTTCATTTAATCACATTATTTTTTGTTCTCTCTTCATTTTTATAATGCACGTCAATCAACAATAGTTTTTATGGTTTTTATTTTCTAATTTAGATTGATTGACTTCGTGAAGTAATTTATTTTTGTTGAAAATTTTTATTAACATTTTAAGCTTTTTTTTTTGGGGGNAAGATGTAATAGGTTTTTATTCAGGAGATTTTTTACATACTTCCTATTTGCATTAATATATTATTTTTTTTAACGTATTGCATTACAATGTTAACTAATTGATACACGAGCATAAACAAGTACAAACCGGTTTAAGCCGCGTAAAAACTATAATGCTGTATAGTATCACCTGATAATTAAGATTGATTAGGTGTTTATTTTCGATTGCTATGTCAATGTTATTTCATTTAATCACATTATTTTTTGTTCTCGATTCATTTTTATAATGCACGTCAATCAACAATATTTTTCATAATTTTTATTTTCTAATTTAGATTGATTGACTTCGTGAAGTAATTTATTTTTTTGAACATTTCCGTATCGTGATCTGTCGCGCCAACCAAGATGCTAAATAGATTTTAAACTTGAAAATTTTTGTAAAAAAACATGTAAATGTTCTTTTTTTCTCGCTAATTACATGAATTTTCGAACAGTTAAGAAATTAAAGTATTTTAAGTTTGATCTTAAATCAATTTTTTTTATAGAAAATGTATACTGTGTCCTACCAAAATTATTTTAATGGTTCAATTTACAATTCTCACTATACACAATTATTTATTTAAAATTATTATAAATAAAAAAAATTTTGGCATAATCATTTCTGATTTTTCAAAGTGAACTAGGCTCATCATTAGTATGTAGTTTTTGAAATCTATACTTCCGTTTCTAATACTTTTTGGGTGTTTAGTTTCGATTGCTAAGTCAATGTTATTTCGTTTAATCACATTAACTTTAGTTCTCTCTTCATTTTTATAATGCACGTCAATTAACAATAATTTTTCATGGTTTTTATTTTCTAGTTTAGAGTGATTAATTTTTTTGAAATTTTTTTTAACATTTTAGGATTTTTTTCCACTAAATACATGAATTTTCGAATAATTAATAAACTAAAATATTTTTAAGTTTTATTCTAAATCAATTTTTTATGACAAATGTATACTTGTTCCTTCCAAAATTATTTTAATGGTGCAATTTACGATTCTAACAATATGTAATTATTTATCTAAAATTATTATTATTATTTATAACAATAAATTTTTATAAATAATTTTTTGCTGATTTTTCAAAATGAACTAAGCTCATTAGTATGAAGTTATTGAAATCTATACTTTATAGACATAGTTTTTAAATATTGTAAGCCTATCCCTGTAAACACAAATAACTGCTTCAAATATGCATATTTTTACAAGCGTCAATTAGAAAGTAAAATATGGTAGCTTTTCATAAACACTAATTTCTTGTTAAAATTTATTTCTTATTTCTATTCTGGTTCATACATTAAGTGATGATCTAGTGAACTATAGTCAGCAATAAATATGAGTAGCAACAATTAAAAATTAAAAAAATTAAATTCTAGAGTTTAAACTCAATATAGTAATTTTTAAAATGCGTTCAAATTGGAATGCTTTAAATTTAAAATAAATGCGCGGAATGCATTTAAAATTAAAAAGAATGCTTTAAAATTTAATTATATCAGTTTGTTTTGATGAAAAGAAAATTAATAAAAATAATGCAGTTTTTCCGACTGCGAAGTTTAAACACATTATAGTCTTAAAAACATCACCCAAATTGATTAAACTTTGCCCATATTTTTAAAATCATTCAAACGCTCACCCTTAATTATCTTGATGTATGAGAAAATGCACTTATTACACTTTAAGAAAAACGAATCAGTGTCAGAGCCTGACAAAGGCATGGGCATACGGGGCAGTTGCCCCGGGCCCCAAATCAAATAGAAAGTTTATTTTAGATTTCTTTCTTTATTGAACATTTTTTAAACAAAATATCAGTGCAGTGTAAAATCCGTCAGTTTTATGTTAGCTTCTTCATTAATCTGTCGTATGAGCACAAAAAATCTATTTTTCGTAAATCCATGGTTTTCCAGTGCGGGATTTAGGTAAATTTCGCAATTACGGAGGACAAATTTGGCCAATCCAAAGACTATTTTTACATTTCGCAAAATGGGATAGGTTTACCAAAATACAGGCTTTTGATTGGCTTGAGTGAGCCATCGTAATTTGAAAAATGTAGCTAAATTCCGCCCTAATGTCAGCAAGGATATGAATTTTTTGCAGCTGGATGACAAAGTTAACAATTAGGAAACTGCATTCGACATGATGGACATAGAATTGTCAGAAAATCAATAAAATGAACCGAACGATATTTCGTCTGACCATTGGAGGGAGGGGGGACTTAATAGCTTTTTTTAAGATTTTAATCAATTTTCTTGCTATATACGTATAATGAGGTGAAAATTTAAATACATCCATATATTTCGGTTCTTTATTACTTAAGTAGTGAAGCAGAGGGGGTCCCCCAAAGAAGTTTTTGGCCTGGGCCCCAATTAAGCTAAGTCGGGCCCTGACCATTGTTTAAGTAACACTACGTTTTACTTTATTTACAAGCTGAATGATTATTTGAAATGCGCTACCTCGAAAAGGGGATTTCCCTGCTTTTTGGAAAGACTCAACTTACTGGATATTATCTTATTTCGTCCGTCACTCTGTTAAAGATCGCATCTCTCTCATGCATGCATAGATGGCAGCACTGACATCTTATTGCCACCATACAAGAGGACTGCACTGAACCAAGTTATTTTTTGTAACTTGGCTATTTACTTCTTAGAGGACATGCAGGAATGATAAATCTAATAAGGGTTTCTTAATGGTGGATACAGTTTCCTTGTATATTAACAATTCCTTAGAAAACATACTGAAAAAGTAGGACACTTACCGTTACTACTGTGTATTTTCATATGCGAAAAACTTCCACGCATGTGCCAGTCATCAGAATTAGTTCGATTTCATTAAAAATGGGATGGAAAAAGGAGGGTTGTTTACTTTACAAAGCCCCACACGCGTGCAAGCTTCTTAACATCAGAAAGTTCGGTGACATTTTCGACGCAGAACTGTCCCAGCAGATGGTTCATTTTTCCCTCGAAAACGAACTGTTTTTCCAGTAAACATAAAAAAACTGTAATGCAATTGATAACTGTAATTTAATCAATTCCTAGTAAATTTTACTAAAGATGTCTATGAATTTCATACTTAGTAGCGACAGTTAGGAAAGACAAAACTGCTTAAAAAGAAAGTTTATACTATCCCAGGTTCCAGGTTCATGGATTGCATTTGTCATTTTTATTTATAATTTTTTTTAAAAACATTTGATTTATTTGCAAGCTCCATATTTCTAGACTTCCGTATAAAAGATTTAAATGCACTCATACAACGAAAATAAAAGAGCATATTTCAAGATTTTGCTGAGAAAAGTTCAAAATGTATATCTGAGTATCTATACTACTTTGTATGAGGGATCAAAATAATGATTACATAATAATAAGTATTGAATTATATATCAATAGTATATATATTAAGTAATATTATACAATAATAAGTTTCGTATAAGGTATTGTACCCAGTATTGAAACAATTACTATTATTTATCAGCAGCATTCCATCAAGTTCTGAAGGATGAAAAACAATGGAGCGTTATTTTTCCGCTTCAACTGTATTTATTATTCGAATCATAAAGAATTTTCCCAGCAGTAGCGAATGTGTTCTTTTTCGTACAGAATTACCCATGATTCCATTGGAGAAAAGCGTTTACGACTTATCTTTCAGGGTTACGGCCACTTTGGAAATACGATGTCGTAAATCGGTACATAAATTCCAATGATTGTCTCTGTAATACTGTTACTACCTTATGTCAACACGGTATGCAGATTACTAGACAACAAAAATAAAAAGAAGCGATAAAAAAAATAAAAGAAATAAATAAAAGGAGAAGAGAACAAAAGAGGCATGTAATATCGTGTTTCTAGAGTTTTGAAAAAAAGAGGACACACAAAAGAGCGTCTAGATTTACATCACATTTGCTTAAAAGAATGCCTCTCTACCTCTAACAAACCTTTACTAGACAAGACGAATGCCAGGACATTAGACAAAAATGTGTTATGAAGACATGATGGGGGATCCATTGTACTGTCAGGCTTCGGCAAGACTACATTTATCAGTGAAAATTATACTTTGCCCCATTACCATACCAATTGAATGAAGATGTAACAAAAAGTATGAAATTTACACCAGCCAATTTACTTTGCTTCTAGCTTTCATATAATCCCAAGTGATTAATGAGAATTCCGTAATGCATATTCGCAACTGAATAGACAGAAGAACCCGCTTACTACGAGACCTAGCTTAAGGATATAACGTATTTAAAGAGCAAAATGGAATGTTTTTGTTTGGTACTATGTTAGAAATGCATTCGACTGGACTCTTACAGAGAGTAATTTTTTTCCCAGATTTTACATAAGAAATGACTTTGGAATCGTGGAATAGTATAGAACTAAATTCTTGTGCGAAATGTTGGTAAAGCACGTGTTTTAAATGAAAAAAAAAATTTGGATTATTATTAATGGTGAACAATTTCAAAAGAATATGGTGGCGGAACATTGCATGAAGTGCATATTTTTCTGGATTTTCCATTTCATGCCAAGCAAATTTCAGTCCTGATTGATAAAAAATATTGATTACTTGCTAAGTAATTTCAAACTTTTTGACGAACTGATTTGACAAACTACTTATCTAAACAGTTATAAATTGTTATGTACGTTTTTGTCTCAATTATATAATATTTAACAAATAATTTCATAATATTTAACATCTCTTTCGCTTTAGTTTTATTCGAATTCATATTGATATTATGTCTACGTTGTGTTTGATTTCGAAATAAATTTTATGCTACAAAAAATATTGTATCTCTCTATACATATGCATCTCTATATAATGTATCTTTATATATGCCTCTCCTAAATTTAGAATTCTTGTTTTAGATTGTATCGGAAAAGTAACTTTACTGATTTTACCTTTTCAGTGTTAATTTTCTAGCTCTAATGTGATGTTTTGTCCAAATAAACTGAATTTTTTTTTTTTTTTTTTTTTTTTTTAAGGATTTGTATTGTACAGAAATTTTAACTCTTTGTTTAATTGGTTATGAGGATGGGGAAGGGGTAAACTACGCTTGACTGATTCCTATGTGTATCATATCTTAGAGTAATTATGAATGTTAGCATTACCGAATAGCATGCGTGGTGACGGCTGCTTTTCCCGAAGTAGTGTATAAAGGAACATTCTACACCAGGAACTTGGTTATGATGACTTTTACTGATACACCACTTTAATGTAGAGAAGAGGTATCACCATTTTTGATGATTTGATACACAAAAAGTTTTTACAGTGCTGTGTGGATGGTTGGCTGAATGTAAACAATAACAAGCTTCCGAAAGCCGGAAGAAATTTAGAGAACTTCCGGTGTATCCCTCCGCTTATGTTACGCTTACGAGTCGATGTGTGAACAGGCTTAATGTTCTAGGAAGTTTGTGATTTTTGTCTAAATTTACCGGTAATTTTACCATTTATGACAGTTATCTGTAATTTATAAATTCTAACAGGTCCTGAGCGTAAAACAAATTTCACAAAATTAATATCACAGCATCCATGCTTTTACTTTGCACGCTTGCTTTTACTTTGTGCGCCTCTTGTGTTTTAACTTCTTGCTAGTCTTGACTTGTATACCTCTACGGCCCTGACTTGTTGCTGGTTTTAACTTTTAAATCTTTTGAGCCCATGTAACTTCTTTGTATTACCACTGGTTGGTTTTATTTTCATGAGTCCCTATTGATTCATGGTTTTAACTATCCTGATCACTTTGTACCCCTTTTGGCTTGTTATTGCTCTTTTAACTTGTCGTTGTTATATATTTTTAACTTTCCCATTTTGGCTGTGTATTGCCAGTGTTTTATTTCTTGTGAATGTTTTGGGTGCTTCTTATAGCAGCGAGGCACGGCCATAATAAGGGTCTGTAGACCTAATATAAGGATCTTTTGATTCGGTTGTCTCTTGCTGAAAACACAACCAGTTTTTACTTACTTTATCGCTATGCATTGTTCTTTATCTTTCTTGTGTATTGTAAATTTTGTATCTGATGGCCTGTTGCCATCCATCCACTTGATGTAAATTTTGTATTTTGTGTTTTTAATGCCTCTCCCGTATGCCCATAGATGGGCGGGTCGGGGACATACAATAAATCACAGCATCCATAAAGTGTAAGTTCAGTCATGTTTTGAGTGTTTGGGTAAAATAGCCCCTTGGAATCTAATTCAAATAATTTCGTGTTTTTTTTTCAAATACTGTACACAAATAAGAAAAATACAAATAAAAACTAGTTAGTGCTATTCATAAACGAAGTTATGAAGTCCGACTAAAAGCCAGAGCATTACACAATTTTTTTCTTTTTCATTTGGGAACAAAGAGATCCTAGCACTTCTAAAACTATACACGAAAGTGGAGAAAAAAAAATTACTCTCATTTATGAAAATAGTTAACTTATAGCTTAACCGAAAATAAAATTGATTAATGTAACATCTGTCGAGACAATTTTGAATTGTAGATAAGAAAATGTTTACATTTTCTTAATGTAATTTTTTATTGCAATATCAAAAAATCTGATTAAATTTCATTGAATATTTTCCGAGAAATGCCAATGCTTCTTATTACTTAGGAAATGTTACAATAAGGAAGTCGAATAACCGAGATCTAAAACGTATTTCAATTAGTAAACGTGATTTAAATCATTAAACTAAAGCAATCTATGATTTCAAAGCATATCAGGTAACGGCAATAGTTAAATTGGTTGCTGAAATACACGAGAAGATGAGATGCAAATATTATTCCCCCCGTTTTTATGAGAGTTGTAAAAGTTAAATGATGTTCTTCGAGCATCAACACCTTTAGGTTTATTTTATTCAATACCTTGGCGTCTGTTGTTAAGATTTTATGGACCATATTTTTTTCAGAACGTCTAATGGGTGAATTTTAAACATAAGCGTCATTTTTTTTATGTTGGTGACGTCAAATGAGTAATATTTTTAAGAATTGTAATAAAAAAATGCTTTGGGTAAAACGATCACCTTGTGAAAAGCACGACAGGAAATAGCAACTCAACTATCAAATATAATCCATATCTTTATCTATATATTAGCTTTAACTAATAATATCTATATTCTAGCTATGAAATATAATATCTTTTAACTTCTTTTTAATATTTTTTCCTTTTGATAGTTAGGTTGCTATTTCCTGTAGAGCTTTTCACAAGGTGATATTAAATTTGTCATTTAGTATGTTAGTTCATGTTAATGGTTTATGGTTTTCACCTACCTGATATATATATATATATATATACTAGAGGGCTTCGCCCCCTGCTCACTACCGCTCGCCAACCCCAGATATCTGCTACGCAATTACATTTTTGTTCGCTTCGCGAACAAAACTAAAATCGTTTTCCTGGAGATTAGCTGGCAATTTTTCTGCACCAACATCACATAGAGAAAATATGATAGGATTGTAATATGTCAGAGGTCCTTGTTATCAGCATTATAAACTTATGTAACGCAATTTTAATACTAACAATAATATAAACTTATATAAAGCAAGGAAGCAATATTATTTAACAAATTACTTTAGGGCATTAGCCGGAGATTAATCTCCGTATTCGAAGCACACGTGGCAGAGCCTAACTCGGGTTGTCTATATTTGAGGGTGCCCCTTGATTCTCGCTAAGTTGTAATCGCGGTTGATCACCAAGCTGGGAGATGTCGAAACCCAATCGTGATTCTGATTGGTTTAGATTTTAGCGTTATTTTTAAATGTTCAATGATATATGTGATTTCAGAGCTCCGTTAGTTCTAACTTGGATACCGGCTGGTTACTTTTTCTTCTGGTCAATAAGATCGAAGGTATGTGGGCAGTCATAAAAAGGGACTTTAGAAAAAAATGTCATCGCCAGTCCGGTACCACAGACGCAATTTTCGGTTCGTATTTCGCCGAATTTATGTGGCGATGGAGGTACACAGATTCTATTCATGATAAATTTAGACAGTATCCAACTGCTATTAGAGAATTCGGTGCACCTAAATCTGAGGATATTCAAGCTTAAAGAAGCAGTGAGTTGTTTTTTTCCTTTTCCTTCTGTGCTTACTCCATTAATTTTTGTTTCGATTTAAAATGCATTTTCTTGGATTTATTAATTTTGCTCATATCGGATTCATTGCAATTTTATAAAGTTTTGGCCGATGTTTTGTTGAAATTTTCCAATGTTTTATTGAAATATCATTATATTTTGGCAGCATTCCTATTACCACGGTGTTCCGAGCAAACAGGAATGGCGCCAAACATAAGTCGCCAATTTCGCCAAAGGGCACCCTCGAGTACATTTTTTTACCCCTACTAACTCAAATCATTGTTGATCTTATAGGATGCCGGATGCTCCCTATATGGTACTTGTGATTTGCACTCTTATGCATTTGCACTTTTGATTTGCACTTTTATGCATTATTTAAGAAATATCTCAAACAAATATGAACTGTTAATTAATATTTCTGACTGCACGATTTTTTGAAAGTAAGTAAAAAACAATTAAAAGTAAGAAAAAACAATGATAAAATAAAAAATTATTTACAAAACCTCCTTATATACAACATTTTTTATCAATTTCTTTTCCATATTATTCGTTTTCAGTTAAACGTCTTGACTCTTCAACGTTTCTTCGCCGTGCATGTCGCTGTCGCGTATTGACAGTACTGCGATTATTTTCCCGGTAATTTTGTATTGCTAAATTATGTTCAACCCTATGTCGCTGTTGTTATCTCCTAAGATATTCACGGCGATCCATTTTTTATAAAAGAT